CTGTTACTGCTGTGACCAAAATTTCAAATTATTCAATCAGTTTGCTCCCGGTATCCCTGGTTTTCGCCCCTCTGGCTCTCCCCGTGTGGAAGAGCTTGTTTTATCACATTTTTTCAATACAAATGTTGTTCTTCAATTCACGCCCTAGCTGTCTGCGTAAAATCACACGCCCATCAGAGAAAGTGATTTAGCATCATAACCTTATAGTTGGTGCTTCAAATGCTTGGATAGTGTGAATCAGGGATTGAAGTGACTGGGTCATCCTGGACTGTTTAACCAGGCTACGTTATTTAGGTTTTTCCTCGAGGTATATTCGTGCTTAAATAATTATTCCTTGATATGTGCCTAGAGGGAAGCTTTAATTCCAGTCGAAATTTCAGTTGAGTGATGAGCAAGAAGCAGCTGATGCTGACGATTTTGTTGTTGATGTTGATGAAGATGATGATGGAAATGATGAATTTTTTGTTTTGGATACGAACAGAGCTGAAATCATTGAGGAAGAGAAAATCACCATAGTAGATTGCAAAGGCTCAGAGCAAATTCAGCTTTCAAAGGCAAAACGAAGCGAAGAAACATTCGATATTACGAAAATTCTTACCAATGATCCTACAACTGCATCGCTTTCGGCGGAAAAGAAGGAAAAGTATCGTTTTTTCTTGTTTAAGTGAACTGATAAATTTATCATATTTTTCTTTAGTTTTTACAGTAAGTGCTATAAGGGTTCGAATGGATTTACTGTTGTAAGCCCCAAACAATTTATGCGAAAGGACAGTAAAGTAAGTTGCGGGTTTGGAACAATGCCACGTGATAAATGTAGCCTGTCACAAGTTTATATAAGTGATCCATTTGTGGGATATAACTACCTCTACATTTCATTGATTTGTTCCAATGGAAATTGGTTTAGCGCATCATCGGTTCACTTCCCTGAAGCTTTCCGAGCAATTTTTCAAGAAGAGAACTGTCAGGAGCTTTGCCATCGGATAGCTAATTTATGCTGCTTCTGCCTTTCGGGCCATTTCTTGAATACAAATTACGATGGCATTTTTGCTTTGATTGTTGCATTGGTAATCCCCTGTTGATCTTTGGTACAGAGTATCACTCGATTGTACCTCTGGCAGCAATAACAAAGGGAACTATCCACGCTTCTTGCGCCAAAAAAAAGTCCGAAAGTTGGGTGGTAGTCAAGGTTAACCTTCCCCATTCTTTCCCGCACCCACTCCCGGCCGCCCGCTTGTTTTCATTTTCTATGAGAATGGAACATTTAAAGGTACCGAGAGCAAGGGTCAATAATAATCATCCGTTGAAAAGACTGTCGATAAGTTCTTCTCTTGAAGGTTGCTTAGATTCAAGGTAATAATGGTTTCAGAAAATACTTTGTGGTTTGCTTTAATTGTGGTGGTGCGCATACGGTGAACGAATGTGATATACCACCAGATCACCGACGAATTGCCGAAAATCGAGCAAATCATCAAAAAAATAAGCGTGCAACACAAGAACGATACACAAGCGCTGGTGCAGAGTCTGAACAGTCGTCACCAAGGTCGTACGTCACGTATTTTCACATTGTTCTTTTTATGCATTTTGTGCTGTGTAACAGCGTTACAAAACGCATATTGTCACGGGGTTGTCTGTGTGTGTTTGTGTGTATGTCTCACATTTTATCCCGCGCTTTTAACTCGGGAACCACAAAAGCTAGGCGGCTGAAATTTTGGTATAGTGTTCCGCGCCAGCGGATGACGCGGCAAATTTAAATTCAGCCTTCCCGAACCCGCGGGTAACTCGTACGGCCCCGTGGAAGTTTTTTACAGGTAAATTAATATCTCAGGAACTGCGGAGTCTAGGGGGCTGAAACTTTAGGGTAATGACCCCCTGCCTACGCTCAATCTTGCCCATTCAAATTCAGCTTTCTCTTACCCGCGGATAACACGTACGGCCCCGTGAGAGTTTTTCACGGGCAAGTTAATATTTCGGGAGCCACTCGGTCTAGGAAGCTGAAATTTTGCAGTAATGACCCCCCGCTCACGCTCAACCTTACCCATTCAAATTCAGCCTTCCCTCACCCGCGGGTAACACGTACGGCCCCGTGAAAGTTTTTCACGGATAAGTTAATATCTCGGGAACCACGGAGGCTAGGAGGCTGAAATTTTAGGTAGTGACCCTCTGCCCATACTCAACTTTGCCCATTCAAACTCAGCCTTCCCGTACCCGCGGATAACACGTACGGCCCCGTGAAAGCTTTTTACGGGAACCACTGGTCTAGGCAGCTGAAATTTTCAAGTGGGTATTAGTGAGCTCAGCGTGGTACCCGCGTTTGAGCCCGCCAAAATTTTTTTCGGTAAGTTCATAATTCGGGGATCTGAAAAGCTAGGAAGCTGAAATCTTAGTAGAATGTTCCACGCCAAAGTGGGTATTAGTAAGCTAAAACCCAGCCCCCGGGTAAGCGTGGTAGCCGCGTACGGGCCCGACAAAATTTTTTTTCGGGCAAGTTGATAACTCGAGTATCTCGGAAGCTAAAGGACTGTAATTTTAAGATGTACCCCGTCCACTCTCGGGTATGTGTGGTAAACACGCACGGGCCCATGAAAATTTTATTCCAGTAAATTGCTAACCCAGGAGCCAAAGAAGCTAGAAAGCTGAAATTTTAAGGGGGTGCTTTCTGACAGTTCTGGCGGCCAGTCTTAATTTGTTTAGCTTGAAGCATCTGCCGAAAAAGCCGGTGTTGGTAGCAACAAAAACCGCGGGGGACTATGCAAAAAACGCATCTTTGCACGGTCATCCCGTGCGTTGGCCAATCATTTTTTTTAGGCCAGGTTATGTAAGCGATTCGTTGCGTGATGCTCTTGGTATTGGCAAGCACGATATCCCAGAATGGATTTATCGTATGCGTCAAAAGGGTTTCGTTGAGGGATATCCGCCGGGCTATCTCGATCAGGTGACGCAATTTCAAAATTTCTTGCCTAAATTAATACTTCTGTTACTTCACTTATCTGTCGTACTTCTTAAGAACTCTCCATAGAGGATTGGCTCCGTTTTTACAGTTGCTTTAAGCACAGATACATTGTCTAATAGCCATCGATAGCTAGCTATTCCATTAGCACGTTGTTGGTGACAGCGTGTCTGTGCTTGGGATGAACTATAAGGAACGGTGGTGATAGATGGAATGGGGTTTGTGATTATCTTTTTTCGGCTCGCAGCATTGTTTGGGGAAGAAAAAGCGGGATTAGGTAGTCGTTTTTTGAGCCCTTTAAGAGATGAACTTGATTTCTTCTCGCACTACTGACTTTTTCAGGCTCTTGAAACAGCCATGAGCATTGATTCGTTACTTCAGTTTCATACAGATGACAA